ATATTGTATGTATATACATGTGTGTGTGTGCTTTATGACACCCTGTTCAAGACCCACTACTGACATGTTGCGCTGTTTCTATTGGTACTGTAGGCAGCAAGGTGGGTGTGGTGGGTCGAACGGGCAGCGGCAAGTCCTCCATGGTAGTCAGGTAGGTATCATAGAGTAGATGACGTGTACAGTGTGCTGCGGCAGATTCCATATCTGGAAAGGCAACACTTTGTGCACTGATACCTAGAAACACATTCTTGAGATAAAGGCTGCGTACACTACCGTTGCTCTGCTGAAGGTTTTTGTTTATGTTTGGGGATAGTACAGACATATCAAAGGACTATGCAACCCGCGTTTCTTTTTCTTTTTTTTTTGAATTGCGACTTCTTATGAGAGACCTGGGATGCACTTTCATAATTATGTTATGACAAGAGAACTCGTTCATTTTCATACTTGAATATCATAACAAGGGAGCTATAATCTTCAGTCGGCATTGAACCTCGGATCATCGTTGTGCTATATTGAGCCAAATCTGAAATGCTTTATTTGCTCCTTTGCGCTCAGCCTGTTCCGTATGGTGGAGGCTGCGAGCGGTTCAATCTGTGTCGACGGAGTTGATATCAGCTCCTTGGGTCTCAAAGATTTAAGGGCCCGCATTGGAATCATACCACAGGTACTCAGCACTCTACTCGTCACCGGTACTACGCGTGAACATGTCATATCGCCAACCTTATCCGAGTCGCATCTACTATTCAAGCATCACAGTGTGAATAGTATATTCAAGCATCACAGTGTGAATAGTATATCCAAGCATCACAGTGTGAATAGTATATCCAAGCATCACAGTGTGAATAGTACAATTCAGCCCTGCCCTGCGGTCCTCAAAATGAGTTCAAGTCAGGGCTTCGGGCTGGTTAGGTTTGGGCGTTGATTCTGCATGTCTTAGCATAGAATGCTCGATTGTTGATAGGCTATTAAGTCTGTCTACAACCCGTTTCTGTAGATTGTAAAATCCGAATATTTGTGTGTCAACACTGAATGATCCAAGCAATCACGCTCTTAATACACTTGCACTCGCACGTGTTGGTTTTGCTATCGCTAAGGGCGAAGATTAAGCTACCCCTAAACCCTAAACTCTAAACCCTAGACCCCTAACGCTAAACGAACCCAAATTGTGTGCAGGATCCGGTCCTGTTCTCACAACAACTCGGTGGTGGCAAACAATCAGTCTTCGGTTCAGTGGGTGGCATCCGATTCAATTTAGATCCGGAAGGTAAGTTCACCGAAGAGGAGCTGTGGGAAGCTCTGGAGCACGCGCAAATGGCCGGCTTTGTGAGGTCATTACCTAATGGCTTAGACGCCCAGGTGAGTCATGAGCTTCTGATTGATACATAATTATGTCACATTTTGTCCCAAACAAAGGGGAGAACGTGGTACTACTGTGTGGCGGGTGTTGACAATGCGCACCAGACGATGGCATTTCGTTCGCGCCTTCAGCATATGGTTTTTTTCTCTATGTTTGTGTCGCGTGTTTGCAGTGTGGTGTCCTGATATTTTACAAATGTGGATGGCCCGCAAGATTATATTGAGTACGACCACTGTATGTGTTGATAGGATATATAGGCTACGCACTCAATAGTTTGACGTCCTATTCACAGTTCAGTATAGATGTGGATGGCCATCAAGATTATATTGAGTACGACTACTGTATGTGTTGATAGGATATATAGGCTACGCACTCAATAATTTGACGTCCTATTCACAGTTCGGTATAAATGTGGATGGCCAGCAAAATTATATTGAGTACGACAACTGCATGTGTTCATAGGATCTATAGGCTACGCACTCAATAATGTGACGTCCTATTCACAGTTCGGTATAGATGTGGATGGCCAGCAAAATTATATTGAGTACGACCACTGTATGGGTTCATAGGATCTATAGGCTACGCACTCAATAATTTGACGTCTTATTCACAGTTCAGTATAAATGTAGATGGCCAGCATGATGACATTGACCACGAAGAGTTAATCGAGTTTTAAGTTTTAGGTTTTATAGCATCAACGATTTGACGTCTCCATTCACCGTTCCGTATTCGCTTGTATTCGAGCGGTGCCATATGGATGTATATATCTCGAACCACATCAGATTCACGCCTATTGGTATCACGGCAATAGGTTTCTGAGAATGGTGAGAACTTCAGTGTGGGTCAGAGGCAACTGATTTGTCTGGCACGTGCACTGCTGAAGAAGCCAAAGCTGTTGGTGTTGGATGAAGCGACGGCTAATGTGGATGTTGACACGGACATGTAAGTGCGTATTGTCGCTGGATCATAAGTGTGGAGAGTGGCGCTGGGGTGTTTAGTACACTGTCTCCCAATTATACAGTGCTCCGTACAACGTGACTATGAACACGCGAATATGTGATATAGGTGTGTAATGGTCGATTTTTCAAGGGTCGAGATTGTGTATCCTGCTGTCGCTACGGTGTTGTACCCTCATGGTATATTTAGTCAATACACACTAGTTCATTCTCCGAACGATGAGCAATACATGCATCCAGCTGTACCTCCCGCTCACTCTTGGTAGAGAATGATACATCATTTTGCTACCCGTGTGTTTTAAATGTACCACTCCGTCGGTGAAATCTCAGGTTAATACAACGGACTATCCGCACGTATCTGAGCGATGTCACCTGCCTGACCATCGCACACCGCTTGCATACAATCATGGACGCAGACATGGTATGTTGACGGCACCCCCCGGTCTCATTGAAACGTTGAAGTTATATAGCTATAGTTATATAGTTATATAGTTGGAGTTATATAGTCATATAGTTACATAGTTAAATGGTTTTAGATGAATTGATAGATACCCCAATTCAGTATATACGCACTCAACCATTTTGTGGTTGTACTTCTCTGCTGTCTGCGATACCTTGATTTGGACGATAGCGCTCGTGCAATTACCAGGCCGCTGGCTGTACTTGTTTGTTCTATCGTTGAGCCACACGTGTGCTTCATTTAATGGTACCTTTAGATTATATTTTCTGTCACTCATGCGTGTCACGAATGGTGGCTTCATATTCCGCTATATAATCATGCCGAACGTTGGTCTCAAATTCTCATGATGTCGTTTCCAGAGTGTTTTGACCCTATATGTATCACAGCCGTGTCCGAGAGTTTCGTTTTTATGGACAGGTGCAATTGCTGAGAACTTGATACTTACCTTATACCTACTGCTCACCTCCATGTTACACATATGTTTTCTTGGTAGGTAATTGTTATGGACGCAGGCCGAATAGTAGAAAATGGCAAACCATGCGATCTGGTAGATCTGCCAGGTGGTCACCTTGCGAGCCTCATCGCAGAGACGGGTCCTAAATCGGAGGAGAAATTAAAACGGTATGTTAGGCATATCATAGTGCGAGTTGCAGTGTGCCGGGCTCATTATATCGCTCTGAGTAGTGATTCAACTGTAAAGATATATATATTTATATATATATATATATATATATATATATATATATATATATATATATATATAGTAGTCGTCGTACCTACTATATACTACCTTACCCTTT